GATCAGAACAAGATAGAGTTGCTGTTATGCTCTTATCAAAAGCTTCTGATCTGTGTTGTTCAACAAAGAAAAAGAAAGGATTTTTGATCTCCAATCACAACTAAAAGGACAAGAAAAAGATGCATTCTGTGTTTTTTTTTCTACTTCAAAGTACTCTTTGTGATCATTATCTTGGTAGAATAACACCATATGAAATTTAATAATATGATTACGTGTTGGAACATTTACAAAGTGATTCCACACGTTTGGTGTCAAATTAAAGTGCAAAGCTTTTGGTCTGCCTCAAGCATACACGGATGTTTGCTGTTTTTCTTGTGTGGATTAATATAGCTAAAATTGCAATTAGAGAGATTAGATTTTCGATTAAGAAAATGCATGTTGTTTCTAGCACATAAAAAGAAAGATAAATAAACAAAGTAAATCGTATAATGAATAAATAAACCCATCGTAAATTAAGATGAATAAAAAAATTGAAACCTTTTATCTTGATTATTAAGAGCATTATGAATTAAAGGCATGGTATCATAGTTTCGTAATATAAAAATGATTGAATCATTAAAATTATCATAATTAAACAAATTAAAAATGATTTAGATATTACCTAAAATCGTGAACGTGGAAAAACTTAAAAATATATATATTTTTATTTTTTAAATTACTGTCTCGAAACATAATTATGTTGTTTTTTTCTTTCTTGAAATGATGTGACATTCACAAAAATGTATGATATAACAAATCAAACATATTTTATATATGATTTAAAAAACATAACAAATTTAGTCATCGTATTGTGTTAACAAATTTAACGTTATTTGTAAGATTTGATTCAATAAAATTAATAGTATTTTTATTCAAATTTGTAACACAACGAAAGTCAGAAAAAATAGCTTTTGGTGGGAGTATAAAGAATACAATGAAATGCTTTATAAGAACAATGATCTATGCTACATCTTTAGTGAAAAAACACACACACATATCTAGCTTAAGTAAAAGAATCGTTTTCTAAAAGAAATGATTGCAATGAAAATCAAACAATAAATAACGTTTGATTTGATAAAAATAACAGTTTAATTTAAAAAAAAAAAGTTAAATGGGCTGTTTTTAAACTGTTTTCAAAACAATTTCAAAAACAGTACAAAATATTGTTTTTTTAAACGTATACTTTTATTTTTTAATGATTAATATAATTTTCAATGTTTTATTAAAAAATATTCCAAACCGGAAGGGTGCTCTTTTCTATATTATTACAGTTTAAATTTTATGTTATACAATTTTGATAAACTCTATTTCGGTGTTTAGAGACTTGTTTTTGTATGGATCAAAGAAATAGATTTATTTAAAAAACACAAGTTAATTGTTAAAAAAGAAATAAAAGAGTGGATTTCGAAACATATATTTCTTGCAATTTCACTCGTAGAAACACTAGAAACGAAATTAGTATGTGAAAATATATAAAAAAGTTAGTGCTTGTTGAAAAATAAAATAAGTCAATCACGTATTTGTTACTTCATACATATTAAATTTTTTGAAATCGTATCCGATCTTCTTATGTCTATATTATTAATAAATTTTTTTAAAAATTCTTCTTCATTTTATTTTATTTTATGAATTTACTTCATAATTGATCATTGTACAGTTTTTTTTTATTAAGATTTTTTTTTTTAGTTTGATTGAAACATTTTACTCTTACAAATTTATTGATTCAGAATCTCTGTTAACTATTCATCTAACGTGACAAATTAAAAATAAGATAACAAATCATACATGGACAAATGACATAGTGGATCCCAACGCTAATAATATATATTCAAAATAGCTTTTTACGAGGCTCTGAGTGAGCAGTCTTGAGCAATTCCTCAAGCATCATGTGTTCATACTTGTTGATATTAATATTGAGGAGCCATTGATGGAGGAAATTGTAGAAAAAATCAAACATCTCAATCGTGGCCACCACAACCTCGTACCTTAACGCCACAACTCCTCCACAGCTAGCCATACACCTCACCAAGCCTCTATCACAGCCACCCAGCCATGATTCCTACCCATTGATCCACTCTTCCAACCACCTCTCTCAACCTGAGGCCCACTGAAACTCTTTCTAGCCACTACCAAATCCCACAAAAATGGTCTTTAAATTCGATTGGCTTATTTGTGGATGAGGATGGAGGTTTGGACACAGTGGATTAATTTTATTCTGTTTGTGAAGAAAATTAGTTTTAAGATTTTGGGATTTATATTTTAACAAGGAGAGGGAACGAGAGAATTGGCTTGGATAGAATGGAAAAAAATGAGTCAGGCAAGAGTAATAGGATGGGGGCAATGATGTCTTTTTAATTATTTTTAAATAATAAATATTAGTTTAATAATAAAAACCGTTTTTAATTTTTTTTTTTTTAATTTTGAATATATACGGTTAGAGTTGACACACACTATGCCACATGTCTATCGTTGATTTTAACGTGCAATGTCGGATGAACAATTAACGGAGGGTTTGAATCAACAGATTTATAAAAATAGAGGATTTCAATCAAATCAAAAAATAATAAATGATCTTAATTAAAAAAAAATTAAAACTGCACGTAAACCAATTGAATAATTCTTTTATTCAATTAAACATTATTGGTGTCACTAATTGACAATTGGACATCCATCTCCACCTAAGATTATTGGAAATATTATTGGATTTTTTTTTGATGATTTTTAAGAGCATTTTTCACGGTCATATTCGAATCTGTATAGGATAATATAGATTTGGTTGTTGGAGCCATTAGATTAAATGGTGAAAAACAAAATCAAACATGTGGGTTGTTTGTAGCTAATAATATGTGGGTTGTTGTAGCCATTAGGTTAAATGGCGAAAAACAAAATCAATCAATATCCATAATTCTTTTCATTTTAAATAAATTTTCATATTTTAATACAATACTATATTATAATATATTCTTTTCATTTTAAATAAATTTTCATTTATTTATATTTGTATCAAAATTCTTGTCTAGTCAGAATTTTAAATAATATATATATATTTTTCTAAAATATCCATAATTGAGAAAAAAATTAATTCTTTCTTTCTCTTTTTTTCTTTACTAATAAAAAATCAATATTTTTTTTATATTTTTCTTTCATACATACAAATACCTTTAACATAATTTTTTTAAAACCTTTTGTTATATGAAAAATATTCATTATTGTAAAGACTTTACTACATGCTAAAATTTCAGAAATACCATATTTCTATTAATATTTTATTTTTTATAATTATTTTAAACTTGATTTTTAATTAATTTAATAATTTTTCATTTGATTTATCATTTTAAGTTAGGAGAGATTTTTTTCTTTAAGTTATAATTAATAATTTTAAATTTTAGAAAAATATAAATAAAAATACTGAATGACATAATCATTAATAATTTTTACAAACTTATAATAATTTTTATAAAAGGCATAAAAAGGAAAAAAAGAATGATTTTTTTTTTTTTTTTGAGAATTACGAATCTAATAAGAAAATTCAAAGGATGGACCAAACTCGTGTAGAAAAGAAAATCCCAAATTCCTATAATTTTTTCAAAGGATGGGCCATAAATCATGGGCCTATCTGTCTTCTAGACTCTGTCTATAAAAGGTGTCTGGAAGCTTAACACAGCACGGCATTAAAGCAAAACAAAAAGGAAAGAAAGAAGAGAAAATACAGCAATAAATAGGAAAAAAAAAAAACCAAAATCAGGAGGGAGTGATTCTCAGTGCTCTCTCATTTCCCGCTTACTTGTTTCTTTCTGATTATCACAGGTTCAGACTGATATTATTCTTAGCAACAGTAATACAATCTTATTTCTCTCACTGATACTAACACCAGGCAAGAACCTTTCTTTTCTTTTAATCGTTTCTTTATCTACTAAGCTTTCTTTCATTCATATCTGTATGTATAAATACATCATTTTTTTAAATTTTTTTTTCATTTTTGGGTTTTGATTTTAATTTTTTTGAAAGGGAAGGTATTGCTACTTGACAGGGTTTGTTTCTTGTGACATTTTTAGGGAACCCCAACCTTTCCTTGTTTGTTTCTCGAGAGAAGTTAATTTCTTGCACTTTTTTTTTAATTTCTGAAAGAACGCAAAAAACAAACAAAAAAAAAAAGTTGATGGAACAAGAACGTTGATATTCTTGATTTTCTTTTATTTTTCTACAGTGTCTTGGGAACCAAACAGACCCTTTTTTATTTTTTGCGTTTGTTGCTTTCCTCTTCAGTGAAGAAGGTAATACTAGTTGAGTTTGACTTTTCTTTTCTATTTTTTTTTTAATAACCCAACTCACAATTTCTCTTCTTTTGACATTTTTTCCATTCTTTTTGTAATATTTTTTAATAAATTATTTCTTTGTAGATAGGAGTTCTCCTCCTCCTTCTTCTTCTTTTTTTTTTCTTTTTTAAGTTATATCACTTTGCGTGTTGCGATATTGTTCAAAATGGGAATGAATAATTTCTTCTTTGATATTTAGGAAATCAGCTAATTCTTCTCTGATATTTAGGAAATTAGCATTTGTATCCAAGTAGAGTCTTAATTATAGATTCTTGTGTTTATTTTATTTTGGTACTGAATGAATCACTAATTTGGTAGTTATTGATTATCATGACACTTGATCCCGTGATCATTGTGGTATTTATTCACCAATGATATTCATTTCTTTGGAAAATCTTTTTCTAATTTTACTCTGTGTAAAGAATGCGGCTTTCCTTTTTCTGATAATGGGTTTTGCTTATTATATAAATTGTAACCCTTTTTTGCTTGCTTGGTATTGCACAATTTTCTATACAGTTCTTTTGGTAGTCTTTATTCTTATGTTTTGAATGATTGAATTTGCATGTGGACGTCAAGTTTTGATTTTGTTATCATTGATGAACAACCATATTGGTGTTGTTAAAGAGTTAGTTTTTAATTTTTACTAATTTTTCCCAATTCTGTTTGGTGTTCAGAGACTGGAGCCGGAAAAGAAAAGGATAATCTATGGAGGGCGGCGCAGGAAGAGGTTTGGAATGCCAGAAGATCATGGATGGGAAGGCGAATGACGTGAATGGTTCAGAGAAGGCTATTCCTTCTTGTTGCTTTAAGGCTAGGGCTTCTGCCTCTGAGCTTGATGCAAAATGCCATTCTACTGTTGTTTCTGGGTGGTTCTCAGAATCTCATTCTTGCTCTGGTCATTATCTTTTATTTATTTTCTTTCTCCTTCCTATTCATTTTCTGTTTTTGATTTGTTTTTATTTTGGGATATTTTTGGTTTGAATTGGTTGCTATCATTGGTAACACCCTTTTGTCCTTGTTATTATAGGTAAAGCTAGCAAAAGGGTTTACTTCAACAACCCCATGTGGCCTGGTATGCATCACTCCTTATGCATATCCATATAATGCAATACTATTTTTACTTGTTGTTCCTCTGTCTATGCTTGTTGGGATTGTGTTTTTACTGATGATGGTACATAACTTGCAACTTCAAATTATTTGTATTGACTTTTGAAGTTTGTGAGGTGAATAGTAATCTCCCAATATCATTTTGTGATTTTTATTGCTGAAATAAATTTTAAAAACATTGCACAACAGAGGGGAACATTGGGAAATAATATTAGGAGCAGAGAATGCCAGAGGTCCAACCTGCTGCTTTTAGCTACCACAATAGAGTTCTTTTCATTTCCTATGCGCACTTATCACTTTTTTTTCTCTCTCTCCTCTGCCGCAAATCTTGTCCTATACTGACCATTTATCTATAGCTGATTTTGTTTGGGTATCCATTTGCAGGAGAAGCACATACATTGGAAGTGAAAGAGATTTTATACAAGGGAAAGTCAGAGTACCAAGAGGTCTTGGTTTTTGAGGTTTGGCCATCTCTTTTTATGAAGTCTGCTTATGTTCTGTTGGTTGCCTCTCTCTCCCTCCCTCCCTCCCTCCCTGGTTGTGTGCTTATACATCTACCTAGATTTACTGCACCTGTGTAGTTTTTTTACGACTTGGCTGATACAGAGTTGTTTGTTTGCAGTCAACATCATACGGGAAAGTGCTTGTTCTTGATGGTATTGTTCAATTGACTGAGAAAGATGAATGTGCATACCAGGAGATGATCACTCATCTTCCCCTTTGTTCAATTCGATCTCCCAAAAATGTATAAATCAGTGTTATTTTTTTCTTCTGCTTTTCAATGATTTAGATTCAGATGTACTGCAGTTACACTTTCACCCTCTTGTATTTTTATTTACTGCCAGAAGTGATTAGTTATGCAGTTTTTTTCTCTGTTTCTTGGAATTATAGGAAGAAATTTTGAAATGAAAGATGACCAATTGCTTTTTTTTTCCACAGTTATACTTGTCAGTGAGTTATAACACTTCCAATCTAAAGAATAACTTAAATCACCTTTCTTTCTGAAAAGCTTGAGAAAGTGAAAGCAGAATGAAACTTGTGTCTTCAATCAACAATTCATGAGGTGGCATGCAAATGCCTTTCCCCCTAGCTTGACATGATACCATTTTACTGTGTGTAGTTGTTTCGAAATAGTTATTTACTTTGCTACAGTTCTTGTATTTCCAGTTTAGAACTTCATGGCAATGTTTTAGGTCTTTTGGAATCGTAAAATAGTTTTTTTTTTCCTTTGCTACCCATTTCTTTTTTTGATGACCTTGCATCTAAAATTTGACTTTTTGCTTTTAATTGGAAACAGCATTTAGCCCTTTCAAATTTTGTTTCTTGATGCCTTTTGAACTTGGTGTAATTAATTTCATTTTCATGTTTGGTTCATGCTCAATTCATGCAATGCATAATGCAGGTTTTGGTTGTTGGTGGTGGTGATGGTGGTGTTCTTAGGGAAATTTCTCGTCATAGTTCTGCAGAGCAGATAGATATATGTGAAATAGATCAGATGGTTATAGATGTAAGTGATGATTTGATGAAACATGTCGTGTATCACAAGCTACCATGCATTTCCATATAAAGCCTTCAATTTACTGCAGGTGTCTAAGAAGTTTTTCCCACAATTGTCTGTTGGATTTGAGGATCCCCGTGTCCGACTTCATGTTGGTGATGGTATGTGGAAGCAATTTTTTCGTGTTTCTTTTTCTACAATTTGTCCTAGTTATATAAAGACTTGATTATTTGTGCGTGAATTTTCCTTGGGTTAATTGAAGTGAATTGAACTTATCTTCTTAACTGATCTCACTTCTGTAATCTCTACAGCTGTAGAATTTCTCCAGTCAACTCCTAAAGGGAAGTATGATGCTATCATTGTTGATTCATCAGACCCTGTAGGTATGTTCTTGAATACAAACAGTGTTTTTTTCTTCAGTTTTTATCTCCCTATCCCCATGTGCACATGTCTGTGCCTTATTTATAAGGTTAACACCATATGGGAAATCCGGATATGTGGCCAGTAACTGATTGATGCAGAATCATGTTTCGGAGCTACGGAACTATGCAAATGAATGAGCTTCGTCTAACTTTTGGTTTCTGGTTATGTATATTTGGAGGATATTCTCAACTTATGTGCTGGTTCAATTTGCTTGAAACTATCCTTTGGGTTTTTGATATAATTTTTGGTTCTTGATTTCCCTACTTTGCTTTTAAAGATGAGAACTGAAGTATTTGAAAACTTGTTCTCTGTGATCTTCATAGAAACTCCTGTGGTTTTGAGGCTAAATGCATTTAGGAATTTCGCTCATGGGATTCCTCTTCCTGATTAAGGTCCTGCGCAAGAGCTTGTTGAGAAGCCATTTTTCGAGACAATAGCTAGAGCATTAAGGCCTGGCGGTGTCCTCTGTAACATGGCAGAAAGTATGTGGCTTCATACACATCTTATTCAGGATATGATCTCTATTTGCCGTGAAACATTTAAGGGTTCTGTTCATTATGCCTGGGCAAGTGTTCCAACATATCCAAGGTAATGATTTGCTCCCTTTTGTTTTCATATTTGTTCTTGCTTTTTGCATCTCATAAATATTGTTGAATGCTCTCCCTGAAGTATAGTTCTTCAATCACACCCTTTGTTGTTTTTATTCAAACAGATCTAATTAAGATGAAAACACAATCCCTGAAAAATCTTGACCTTTTCACGAAGTTGCGGTTTTGGTTATTATTAATGTTGAATGCTCTCCCTGATTTTTGTCATTACAGCCCTGTGTCATTGTTCAATAATTTATGAGGGAAATTAAAATGGGATTTGGTGAAATAGGCTGCAGGGTATGAAATGATTCTTACTTGTTTCTTTTGTTATCTGGCATGCAGTGGTGTGATCGGATTTGTCCTGTGCTCAACAGAGGGCCCGCCTGTTGATTTCTTGAATCCTGTCAATCCTATCGAGAAGTTAGAAGGAGCTACCAAGCATAAAAGAGAACTCAAGTACTATAATTCTGAGGTAGTAGCTCCTTCATGTTTGAAACTCAAGTAACTTTTATCTTCTTTTTTTTTTTTTCTTCTTCTAATCTTTTATTGTCTATAGGTTCATCAGGTGAATGTGGTAAGTGCCATCATTATTGCTGGTGAACAATGTTTTAAATTTAGGGCACTGTTCTTAGAATTGCTCCAATCTGGACATGTCTTGTATCTTTAATGTTCATGGGTTCATTAGGCAGAAGTTCTCCTTGCTTGATCGAATTTAAATTTTATCTGCTCATGTTTTCATCGCCCTACCATGGTCTATTTTCTTTGCAAGGGTGCACAGCTTTTTACTGTAGTTGGATGAAAGTTATACAGTAACTGCAAGAGTCGATTTCTTGTGGCCAATTTGGGATTGCAAAAATATTTTTCTTTCATTGCACCGTGGAAATGAGATTCTGTCTTGGCATCTCTATTGTGCCTAGTCTCACCTGGAACTGTCGATTTAGAACTCATTCTTGGAGCTGAATTTTTTGTTTGTGATGTTTTCTGGACAGGTTCACTCAGCTGCCTTTGCATTGCCAACATTTTTAAGAAGGGAGGTGAGCTTACTCCGGGATCAAGGGAGGTGAGCTTACTCTGCGATCCCAGCAAAAGTTTGGTGGCTTTGGCCATTAGATTTTTACGATAAAAAGTGGGATTGCTCTTGAATGGCAAATAGATGTCAAGTAATTAATTAATTTCAAGTGTAGATGCATGTGACGTGAAAGCATTTGCTTGCTTGGTCAGACTTTAATATATCACAATGGTTTCTGCATATATTTATAATGTCATGATGTTATCCTATCATCTTAAATTTGAATGTATGGATGATTCTAAAATGGAACTCGTGAAAGAGATTTGATTTTGGTGCTCGAAAGCTGATTTGATTATGATTTTTATTTCCAAGTCTGAATCGTGACTTTAAGGCATCATTTAATTCATTGTTTTTGGGAAATTGAAAAAAGAAGAGACAAGTGATGGTCTCTCCCTCATTTGATCAGCCAAGCCTGAAATGAATTTGCCGAACTCTAGTGGGCTCAACCCCACTAACGATACAAATTTCTTTCTAAAGAACTAAACAATATTTCTTATTAATAAACCTTGGAGAAACTCTTCTTATCTTAGTTGGATTTTAAAACAGCAATAAAGAGTAATAGATGCATTAGACAATTAGAACATCCCATTTGTAAGATACAAAAACAAATTAAGGCTGATAACCAAGACAATTAGAACATCCAATTTGTAAGATATAAAAATAAAACAAGGCTGATAACCAAGAGTTACAGATGAAGCAGTAAGAAAAATGTTTTTTTTGACTCATTCGATTAGGAGTTAGATTTTCATTCTTGAAAAGTGTTTTTTTTTCTCCCTTAATGTGGTGCTAGATATGTTTTACTATTAGATTTAACGAATCTAATATTTAGAATCGATTTAAAATTAAATGTGATCTGATATTGACACATTGACTTAATAGAGAAAGTGAGAACTTAGTATCGATTGATATAAAAAATTATCTTAGATCCGGTGACACTTGTAGTTTCAGGATTTTAGGTTATGTGATTGAGTATCAAATGAAAGCATTAATGTTGTTGATAATTTATGCAATAAGTGGATCCTGGACACAAGGTATTGAATTCATTGATCCATAAGAGGTTGTACATATATAATATCGACTCAAAATCAAAACCCAATTTTAAAAAACAATTAAGCAAACTAACCCCACTCCATAATCAAATCAGATTATAACAAGAGTCACTAAAACTTTTTGATTAATTACAACCATGCGTACCTGCCAATCATTAGACACCGACCAAACTCTCTCCTCATAATTCCACCAAGCTCTCCTCGTAATTCCACCAAGCATGGACATAGACATCTTCCTCCCAGTCTTTGGAAAGTCCTGTTTCTCCGTAGATGCCTAACCAGACCAGCTTTTTTCCATCTTCATTACTTTGTTTAAATACGACTTCTCTATCTCTCCATAAACAAATTGGTATTAATCTTTCAGACACCGAGGCAGTGACTGTGAACAGTTTTGACCAAGCTCTTTCCTTATCACTACCATTCAGCACCCATATGTCGAAGCACTGATCCTTACTCCTGAAATTAGGTAAGTTTGCTACAGCAGCAACTGATTCTTTCCATGCACAACAAGTTTCTAGACGATAACGGCTGTTGTATCCAGTCATAGAATAGTTATTTAGAGGAGGCGGAAAGGGTATCCATTGGAAGGTGTCGTCAAGCAAACTGAAGGAAAGTAATATTTCGCCATCAATATTCCAATATAATGCTCCTTGTACAGCTGCACTAGCAGTCTTAGGAATTTGCCAGAGTCCTCCAGGGGGAGGGACATAATCAGGGTTGTCATGTGTGATCCTTCTCCAAACACCCTTATTCCTTTCAATTACTTCACAGAGAATCGAAGCTCGAGGATATCGGCCAAAGACTGAAGCTCTTACCAACTTATAGTCGTTTCCTTTGGGATCAAACCCCAATCCTATAGCCAGTTGATCACACCTTTCTTCTGGATCGTGCTTGGGTAGACGCTTGAATTTTCTGGTTGCAGGATTCCACAATACAGTAACTAACTCAAAATCATCGGTTTCGTCGTCTAAATATTGGCAACAGAGTAAGCCATGGCAAGAACCTATAACGTTTACGTAGTGGTAGGAGAAGGTTAAGGGTGTGAAGCTATAATTGGTTATTGTTTCATGGCTGTGGAAGGATGATCTTGGACTTAATTCGAAATTATTGTCACCCAAGAATACAAGGAGAGAAGGATTCTTGATGGAGTGGCTTAGGTGGGAGGAGATGAAAGTAGGGCTTTCAATAAGAGTGCAATAGTTCTTAGATAAGCACTTCAGTCGGAGTAGGGTTTTGACAGGAAGTTTTGTGAGTATGTCTTGGACGATATCTTGGGGTATAAACAATGGTGTAGCCATTGATATTCTTTGATCTGATCTCGTTTGTTTTGACTATATATAGCCTGTTCTTCCTTCCTTTTATACATAAAGAAGTTGACGAGGAACATGACTAAACTAACCACATAAAATCCTTCACCGTTAAGGACTCAATATCTATTCGTGTATGGACTCTATTTGGTTTAATTATTATCAACAAAGGTTATAAATCATATTTTTAATAAAATAAATAATTTAATTATTTAATTATCTAGCCATTCTAATCCAACTGAAGAAAATTATATGCAACTGATATGCCATTTAAATTATCTACCGTAAACCATGTTAATAGAAAAAGTCGAGAAATTTTATAATACACAAGGAGTAACTAGTGGCATGTACAATAGTTACTTTTTGGACCTACTTTGAGGAGAGAGATAGACACACAAAAAGAGAGAGAGAAAAATAGGAGAAAGAAAATAAAAAAATTTGAGCGGACGTGGAAATCTTCTTATCACTTTTGGTAGGTATGGATGTAATTTCTCTTTTTTTATGTGTCTATCTCTCTCCTCAAAGTGGACCCTAAGAGTAACTACTCGTACATGTCACTAGTTACTCCTTGTGTATTATAAAATTTTTCGCAAAAGCCTAACCTCTCGCGTGTTCTTACAATGAATTTACAAAATAGAAGCAGTCGATCAAAAAATATTTAATAAATATATTTTTTAAATAGTTATTTTCTAGACATAATTTAACGAATTTAATTTTATTAACTATTAACTTAACAATCCACTTAATTTATGATTCAAATGAATAAAAACGTAGAGTTGAAATAACTCACTCACAACGTCCATTAAAATATTACATGGTACAATTGGATAGAATGAACCCAAAAAATATAAAAAAATAAAATTTTTAGAATAAAATAATATTAAATTAAACATAAAAAACTTGATTAAAAGATAAAATAATTAATTTTTAAATTAAAGAAACTATTTAATTTATTTTATAAAATTAGAGGGACTAATCTATAATTTACACGTTATTTCTATTCTCTTTTTTTTCTTTTCTAAACATAGGAACCATAAAATTTAGGGATAATTACTAGAAAAACCTAATAACAAAATCTTCTATCTAAAAAACTCACAAATTTATTTTTAAATCTCTCAAACCCAAAACAATATTTTTCTTACTAAAAACACCTAGTAGTTAACACTAGTGTTAACTACTAGGTGTTTTTAGTAAGAAAAATATTGTTTTGGGTTTGAGAGATTTAAAAATATTATTTTGTATTTGAGAGATTTAAAAATAAAATAACAAATTTTTTAAATTGAAGATTTTTTAGAAGGTATTTTGGTAATTATCCCTAATTTAAATGAAACCATTATCTTTCAAGATATATATTTCTATCATGGATGATCATGTTTTATTTAATTAATGAACTAAAATATGTTATACATTCATCTTGTAATTTAATTTAATTGTTTGATAAAAAATATTGAATTTTGATTAATTAAAACTAGTATTATCGACTAAGTTTTTTTTTTCTATAATGCATTAGGATTTAAGAAATTACTAATGTTCATAATCATACATATTTTATTTTTCTTATTTGTATGATAACCCTTTGATTAAATTATAAGAGAATAACAAGAGTCTCATTTCATCAATATTAATTAGTTAAATTGCCTCGGTTGCTATAGTTACTAGATAGTAAAATTAATCTCGTAATTAATGAAACGGACGGTTGACAAAAAAAACTCTAATATAAGAAATTTTTTAGTATAATAAAAAAAAAAGTCGAATGTTAGTGTTTAAAAGTCAAAGAACCTCAAAAACTTTTTTTTCTTTCGAATGCAATAAAAAGAAACTTGACTTGATCATGAAAAAAAAAAAAATGTCAAACTCATTAAAAACTATGAAATGAGTTTATTATTAGATAAAAACTATATATATATAAAAAAACTCTAAAAAAATTCTATTTAAAAAATTCATTAATTTATTTTTTAAATCTCTCAAACCTAAAAATAAATAAATAAATCTTATTAAAAGACCCAATAGTTAACTAGTGTTAACTTAGAGGTTAACTATTAAATGTTTTGATAAGAAAAATATTATTTTGGGTTTGAGAGGTTCAAGAATAAATTGATGGGTTTTTTACATATAAGATTTTTTTAGAGGGTTTTTCTGTTAATTATCTCTAAAATTTAATCAGTAAATTTCATTAGCAACTATAAAGAAGGTGGGGCCCAGTGAATCCCCATTTAGATTCTGCCACGTAATGTACTTGGGCTGAATCTAGCACACGCCCACCACACTCCTCTCCTACCCCGCTTTTATCTCCCACATTCTGGAGAAAATTCAGACCTTTCTGGCGAACCATACAAAAAGAAGTGCTTCTCCTCTTATGTTCTCTAGCGATCTTCACCAACCAGCGAAAAAGAAAGGTGCACATTTCTATAAAGCTTCTGCTTTTTCCAAAAGTTGATTTCATTTTCATCAGTTTATAAAAACTGCTTCTTTTCTTTTATTTTGCAGCTGATTGGTATTGGAAAAAGGCTTAGATTAGATGTCCGTTGTCACTTCACTTTCAACTCATGTAGTTACAAATCCAATTCCAAAACTTCCTAACCATGTATGTAAATCTTTTTGCTCCCTTTTGTTCTTTTCAGTGAAATTCATCTTGTAGTCGATTGTGCAATCTTGACTCTGCGAGACACAGTCAAGATTGCAATTTGTTTTTAAATTTTTTTTTCTTTTTTTTATGTTATATTATGGAACTTTTGAATGAATGGATTCTTTGATCCTTACAAGGCACAAGGGCTGATGCAAATTGATGCAGAGGGTTAAGGGCACCTAAATTTTATCCAAGATGAAAGTCATTTAACAGATTAGAAGTTGGAATCTCAGACCTTCAATAACAGGAGTCACAAGCTATAAAAAAACATGAGCAGACCATGCTACTGCAAATTAATGCTCTTCATAGGACAAAAAAGCCTGGCTCAAAGGCAAATGCATAAGCCTGAATTTCATCAGAAGTATTGATGAAACCGTACATAACATTCTTATTAACCATTCAGAATTTCTCAGGCTCAAGTGTTCAATAACATCAAACTTGGACAGTCAATATTAAGGCAATAAGGCATACGAGAATTGCGATAATCCCTTAGGCAACGAATCCCAAGTTTTTTTTTAATGGGAAAAACAAAGAGTAGTTGTTGCACAATCATCAGAGTTGCTGATTGGGAAAAAAAAAGTAAAAATTTCAATGTCATACAGTCAAGATTAACAACCTAGGTGGACAATACAGATTCCAACTTCTTCTGCAGATGGGGTTCCAGGGAGGACATGCTGGATTTCCAATGATCGTCCAGTAACTTGTTTCTTAGTCTCTTCAGTTGCGTGATCATTTGGTTCATAGTTTGCTCAGTAGCTAACTTCTTACCCGCCAACAGGATCTGGAGAAATGAAGAGTTCTCATGATAAGTAGAATGCACAAAGATATCAAAGAGATGTAGAATATAAGCTACTTTGCAATGAAGAATGGGATGTGCCTCAGCATAAACACGAAAGATTTCGGAAAGATTATCATTGTTTCTGCCAAGAAGGTTCTTTTCCGACCTGAAATGAAATCAGAAAACATTTCAATTGAAAAGAAGATCAGTGCATAAAGGCATCGAAATGATTCTGGAAATTATGCAACAACCTTGTGATGAAAATTCTACTTACCTTTCAAACAGTAAACAGAGTTGATGATGCACAACTTTGGCCTCATTTCGATTACTTCTCATTGGCAAATGGCTTAACCACAACGTCAAATCCTGCTTCAAACTCTCCTTCAATTCCTTTCCCTCCTGCTAAGTAAACAAACCAACTTCACAGAAAATTCTTGAGCACTAATTTAGAATATCCGAGAATTTCTTTCCACAAATGAAATGAAATCATGCAAGATACCCTTAGTAAAGTCATCTTTCTTTTTAACAGAACAGAACTAACAAGATTAGTCAAAAAAAAAAAAGGAAAATCTAAAAGGGAATTCACTAGGAAATGTATATGCACATGGTAGAACAGAAAGGCTTCTTTTGCCATTGATCTGAGAAACAAGAAATGAGAATATGCCTTTTCTATGAGTAGGTCGTTGAACTCAAATATTTTTCCTAGAGAAGCAACAGCAGCATCACGGGCCATTACATATTCTTTGTCCAATGCCTTAGGGTGCCCTATCACAGAAATTAAACCTGCCAGGTGAAAAACAAAAGGTTTTATATTGAATTAAAGGACAGCAAAGGAAATCTCTCTCTCTCTCTCTCTCTCTTCCCTTGACGAATTGCATAAGAGATAACTCATATAGCAGAAAGCAGAATAAAGAGGCTACCTCTAATAACAGACTCGGATACAGACCCACCAAATTCTACAAATATACCAATTGCCTTTGCAAGTATCTGAAACGACAATGTTCGATATCAGAAGTGAAGCATTTATGAACCGTGTCAACATGACACCTGAGTAAGAAATAAACCTCGTTAACTTCAGGGTTCTCATCCATGCAAGTGCTAAACTGGTCCTCGAGACTTTTAGTCAAGCCCCTGTTTTAAGAAATCGCATTAAAGAACATTCAAGTAACTTGCACAATCAACAAACAAGTTTCATACTTGAATGCTTTTCCTTGGAAACGTATCGCAACTTCACGAAAAACTCGCAAGGCAATGTTTCTCTCTTTAGCTGTTTTATCGTTTTCCTGAAGGAAAAAAGGCAAGAAAAAATTTAATGTAGTATGAAATTGTTGATCATTATACATTACCTGGGAACCGTAAAACGGCAATTATGCGTATAAATAGTAGTATAAAAGATGAGGAGAAAAGAATATATAACTCACCCACATAAGTTGTATGAGTGGTAAAAGCTTGTCGACCAATGATGATAAACAATATTTCTGTGTGCCGATTAAAGTGGACAAACAATCAGCAGCCTGCATCAAGAAACAAACACATGGCAGCAGACAAATCTCATTCCAAGGAACTCATACAAATAAATTGCTTTTTAAATAAAGATGACAGAAACTACAGACTTTGTCAGAAATTTTTTCTTCTTTCAGATTTTCCTCTTCTACTGGTTCCTGATCTGTTGTGTCCACCATTTTGCTTCTTGAAATAGAGGGGCTTTTTATGAGAACCTCCATTTTCTGCACCAAGAAGAATTTGATGTCTTCTTCCTCCAGAATTGCTCCTGATACCTGAAGGAGAAGAGATCATGCTCTAAGAAAACAGCATGTTGTTATCACATATGAATTTGATAAAAGAGAGAGATTCATCATATTCTTATGGTGTAGGATTGTCTCAAACTAGTACAAAGAGTCCAGGTTTATAAGAAGATAAGTCAAACCTTCATGCATTCGTCCAGCGACTCCAAAATTTCGACACCAGTTCCCTACAAGCCAATAGCAGGTAATTAGTCGTTTCTTAAACAACAGTTTGGCTTTATTTCTAATAGAAATTACCTTAGTTAGAGATTTCACCAAGGCTGGTACAATGTTATAGCATAACTTGTTGAAAAGAGTTTCAGAAGACGATGCAATACACCGTTTCTGAACTGCTGCTTCAGATGATTTTAATAGAACCGGCATGGCTAGAGACAAGGAAAAAGAAAAACAAATTAAATTGTGGTTGTCAGCAAAAGCTAGCTAAGAGATTTCTAAGCAAATGACATCAACACGAAAATACCTAAAGCAGCAACTCTGCGAATTTCTTCATTGTATTCAAAGTTAAGAAGTGGAACTAAAATGCCAGCAACCTGCACATATAATTAGTAATTGTATGGTAGGTTATTTCCAGTTTGTTTCAAGAGATTCAAAGCAAAATCATGTTCTGCACATCAAAACCAACCTCCTCGATCCATAAATAAAAGTCTTCCTTCAACTCAGCAGCACATCTATACAGCTCACTACAAGCAATGACTTTCTGTTCCAGGACCTCAGTTTTGATCCAAGTCTTTTGACCTTCAACAATCAAGGTCCTGATACTGCAGAATGCAGAAAGCAAAGACCTAATTAAAAACTCTACTAGAAGTAGGATTACTGCCACGCTAAGAACAATTCAGTTAATCACAAGTAGCGATGAAAAACATTAGATTTTAATCAAACAATTCAGTTAATCACAATGAAAAACATTACATTTTAATCTAATTAGAAGAACTATACAATGTGAAATAAAAAACTAAAACACAACCAGAAAGAAGAAAAGAAAACTGATGGCCTTAATCATTGGAAGAATGAAGAAAAATTTCTCAACATAAAGGCCAACCTTCCATCCGATTCTTCCATATTGTCAGGATTCTCAGGTACAAAGACATATGATTCATTTTTGGCTGCCTTGAGCAAACAAGGAATGGCAACCATATTATAAGGTCTGAAATCTTGCCCCAAAATTTTGCAGAGTCTACCACATGCCTGCATCATGGTTATAAAATTGTATTATCAGATAAAACGCCGGCAGATATGGAAAGTATTACGTTCATGTTTCAAATGAAAAAAAGCAGCATAACATACTTGCAACACTTGAATTCTCATTCGATTGTTTTCCTCCAGTTCAGGTCGTATCAGGGAGATGAGAACTTCCCCAACCTTCTATGCGTAAATTAACAAATAATCGGTAAGGCAACGATCTAACAACTAAGAAAAGATAAAAACTGTAACGAGGATTACCCGTTCAGCGTCATTAGTGCCAATCCTCTCTTTTCCAACAACCATCCAAATAATAGTAATGCACTCCATGGATGCGGCAAGAAGGATGGAGTCAGAGTCTGCTTTTGCAGTCATCATCATAGCCTTGAGGTAAGGCATGACTGTACTATAGAATTCTTCAAACTGATCCTGCTAATGAAAATAAATAAGAGTATAAAAACATAAGTAAATGAAATCAGTGTTTAAATAACCAAAGTTAGTCTCTAGTGGCACCTTTGATGAATTCGCAATCGATGACAGCGCTCTTAAAGCCTCCACCTTCACCATGCACTTGCCTCTCTGAATTGTAATTGTGTAGAGGTGCATTACAAATATTAGTGCCTCTATATTAAAAGCTCAAACACACAGGGTAACTTCTTAACATATACATTTTTTAGGTCTACCTCTATTTGATCGATTAATTTGCCAACAAGCTTTTTCAGGTAAGGTTTTAGAATGTATGCATCGCAGTTCTTGACGAAGTAAAACATTGCTGAAGATGCTTGCGCCTGAAAAAAGTTAGGAAGAAAGATATAAGAAGATATATCCCAAACAGAGAAAAGTAAGAAACTTTTGACTATTTGACAGAGGAAAAAAAAAAAAAAGTTAAAGCTGCAAACAGAGTACCTGAACACTAGGATATTCGAAATCCTCCATAGCTTTCCTTAGGGCTCCCAACACATGTTGATGACAATCTTCTTGGAATCGAGGGCTTAAATGCTTGCAATATTCTTTAATTGTATTTAAAGCTGCCCAACAAACACGAGGGTGGATATCTTTTTTGACAACTCCCCTAAGTAATCTGGCCATGCGATTTAAGTCATACTTGGATGTCTGCGACATAAGCAGTATTAGCTCAGGGATGATTTCCAATTCCGTTAAGACCACGGGAATTTGAACCAGTAAACATAACCTATCTAAATATTTAAGAAAGTTGAACAACTAAGGTACCTGTAACTTGGAGCAACTATCTGCGATAATTGCTAGGAAGTTAACAGCAGCAAGGCGGCGTTTCCATTCTACATCTTCCAAATGTGAGAAAAATGGTTGAAGAAAGGTTGACAAAAGAACCTGTCCATCCAAGGCAGCTGCAATTCTTGACAAGGTGTTAGTAGCTGAAACACTTGTCAAGCCTTGACTCCTGTCATCACTTTGTGCAGTTTCCCATTCCGGGTCATCTTCTATGACTTCAAGCAGACCCAAAATCCTTTTAATTAATTCTTTGATAAAAAGAGGCGAATCTAACAACATTTTTCTACCCTTATTTCCTCCTTCAGCTAGAGTTACAACAAATTCCAGTGCAAGAAGCCTTGTTTTCTCTTGCAGTTCAGCTTTGCCCAGGAACTTAAACACAGATTCAACCACTTGATGTAAATTAGTACTCAACCATGTTTCAACAGTGCATTGCGGGATCAACTTACAAAGCAAATGCAGTGAAAACTCTACTTTCTCCTCAGAGCCGTTACCCAAAGATTGATGAAGGAACTGAGTGAGCTCAGGCCATTCATTTTCAGATTTTACTTCTTTAATGACTAGCTTGACTATAAATTCATGAATTTTTGGCAAAAACCTTCCGGACCACTCCGTATTATTTTTAAGGTAGCCGAGAATTTCTGATTTGAGTTCTTCATCCAAGAAAGAGGTTTCTTGCCAAAGTTGATGATCATTTTCAGTGAGGAGAGAGAGGGTTTCAAAGGCACCGAGTTTGGCGTACAGAGAGAAGCATTTTTTGAAGAACGAAAGAAGGTAAACACGAAAGGTAGCAAGTTTATTTTCTTTCAGGAAATTGAAGAGGAGTTGGGCATCTATCGATTCAGAAGGCTTATTGGAGAAATGAAGTTTATAAAGAAAGGAAGTGGGTGGTAGCATATCTGAAGCTGCCAAGAGTTCTTCAGCTTCAAATCTGAGATGGTCCATGGATGAATGTGGTGACTCTTGTGGAGGAAGTGGTATTTTTGTTGGTGAACCTTGACTAGAAACCATTTCTAAAAATCGATAAATCTTAGAGAGAAGACTAGAAAACTTCTTCTCTCGTTTAGTAATTGTAGGTGATATATATCTATATCTATATCTATATCTATATATATATATATATATATATATATATATATAGTTTGCACTAATAGCAGACAACCAACAGCTGTACTAAAAGACAAATAAAAAAAACAAAATGCGTAACGGAAAATTTTGTTCTACTATCTTCTATTGGAGAGCAACAAAATGCATAACAAAATGTGAATATTTTGAGAGGAATGAAGAGTATTGAAAGTAAAGCTGAAATGGTTGACAGTTATATTTAACAGAATGCAGTTTCAGGAATTTAGGATTTTTACGATAAAAAGTAGGATTGCTCTTGAATGGCGAATAGATGTCAAGTAATTAATTAATTCAATTGTAGATGGCAGGTGACATGAGAAAGCATTTGCTTGCTTGGTCAGACTTTAATAGTTTAGTGAGGATTTTATTCTAGCATATATCACAATGGTTTCTGCATATATTTTTAATGTGATGGTGTTATACTGTCATCTTAAACTTGAACGTACGCTGGATATGGATGATTTTAAGATGGAACTCGTGAAAGAGATTTAATTTTGGTGCTCGAAAGCTGATTTGATTATGATTTTTATTTCCCAGTCTGAATCATGACTTCTAAGGCATCATTTAAAAAAGAAGAGACAAGTGACGCATTTGATCAGCCAAGTCTGGATGGATCGATAAGTTTTTGTTTCCGACTTTAAAATTGTCAAAATGGATGAAAACCCAAGTGATATTTCGAGCCCACTTAAAGACAAAAAAACGAGCCTTTGTCTGAAATGAATTTGCCCAGTGGATTCAAAACTTGAGCTTTGAGCCCAAGTAGAAGTTTCCCAAACTCTAGTGGGCTCAATCCCAATAATAACACGGTTTTCTTTCCGTTTATATTCTTAAGAACTAAACAATAATTCTTAAGATATTCTTATTACGCTCTTGTTTATCTTATTTAGATTTTAAAACAACAATAAAGAGTAATAGATGCATAAGACAATTAGACTATCCCTTTTGTGAGATATAAAAACAAAATAAGGCATGATAACCGAGAGTTATAGATGATGTAGTAAGAAGAGTGTTTTTGATTCATTAGATTAGGAGTTCGATTTTCATTTTTGATATGTTCTTCTCTCTCTCTCTTTTAATGTGACACTAGACATGGTTTGGTGATGAATTTAAAGAATATAATATTTAGAATTGATTTGAAGTTAGATGTGATTCAACATTGACACATTGACTTAATATATGAAGCGATAACTTAATTTTTTATTGACATAAAAAAAATGATCCGAGCATACTCTACTCTTATCCTTAGAAAGTTCTTCTCATTTTTTTTGTGTGACACTAGACATTGGTTGTTGGTAGATTTAAAGAATTTTATTTTTAAAATCGATTTAAAGTTATGTGTGATCCGATATTAACATATTAAATTAACGTAAAAAGTGAAAGCTTAGCCTTGATTGACATAAAAACTTATTCAAGAATAGTGCATTAATGTGTTCTTTGACTTTAATATACTATAGATGCATCAACTTTCATTTTATATCAATCGAATACATAGATTTTAATTTTTTTTTTTTGGTAGACCAACTTTTTTTTTTTGTCAATCAATTTTTTTTTAATTTTTTATTTTGTAAAGTGTTTTTTTTATTATATAAAAATGCCCTCCAAAATTATTTATATTTTAGGAGTGAAAATATCTTAAATTAAAATAAATTATTTTTAAAAATAAAACACCTGTAATTAATGGCAAGCTATCTACATTCTACATGAAGGTTAAAGATTAATTAAACTAATAAATAAATTATTACTAAAATTTAAAATATTTATTATTTTAACCAAAAAGATGGAAATCATGTGAACGCAAAATAAACAGAAAAAAACAAGCAATTTTTTGTTTTTATATAATTACTCGATTGGTACAATTGAAAAATTCAAGGCATTAAAATGGGGGGAAAAAAATCCATGTGCTTATTGGGAAAATTAAGATTTTGTGTACTAAAGGTCAAAAGACAAGTAATTAATGCAGAGGGGTGGGCATAAAAACTTAATTGAAAAATTAAAAAAAAATCGGGAAAAAAATTAAAATTCTATATTCAATTGGAAAACAAAGTATAAAATTGGTGTACTAATCATGCAATTATCCCTAGATAGAAATCCAAAACCAAACCCTAATAACTTGAGGCAAATTTTATTATACTAAATAATTCTGGAAACCTAAAAAAGCACCAAGGGCATGAGCCTCCAGGATGACAAACAGTACGCGTGGCAAGAAGCAAGAACTCTGTGAGATACCCTGCTTCTTTTGTAATGTTACAGTAACCCCACTCGTGGCATGGGTAGGCATCAGATAAAGCCGGGAAATCGAAACGGAAGAGCGCGGTTATATTGGAACCGTACTTCAAGTCCTGTCTCTGGCACTAAACTTAAAGGCTGAGCACCGCTTATCTGCACCAGTGAGAAGAGAACGTATGGCGGATGGCACAAAAGCCGGAATCAGGCTGAGAAAGTAGCGGCGCACGAGGTTTTGTTTTGTTTTGTCGTTTGGTTTCTCTATCTCTCTAAAACCACTTTCTCAATTTCTCTCTCTCTCTCTCCTGATCTCCAGTGAATTAATTGAATAGTGCAAAAACTCCCAAAACCTCCCTGTTTGTGTGCTGATACATCTACCTAGATTTACTGCACCTGTGTAGTTTGTATACGACTTGGCCGATACAGAGTTGTTTGTTTGCAGTCAACATCATACGGGAAAGTGCTTGTTCTTGATGGTATTGTTCAACTGACTGAGAAAGATGAATGTGCATACCAGGAGATGATCACTCATCTTCCCCTTTGTTCGATTCGATCTCCCAAAAATGTATGAATCAGTGCTATTTTTTTTCCTGCTTTTCAATGATTTAGATTTAGATTTACTGCAGTTACACTTTCATCCTCTTGTATTTTATTTACTGCCAGAAGTGATTAGTTAAGATTTTTTTTTTTTTTTTTTTTTTCACGCCAAATGCCTGTTTCTTGGAATTATTGGAAGAAATTTTGAAATGAAAGATGACCAATTGCTTATCTTTTTTTTCTTTTCCGCAGTGATACTTGTCAGCGAGTTATAACACTTCCAATCCAAAGAATAATTTAAATCACCTTTCTTTCTGAAATTGTGATATAAAACGAGAAAAGCTTGAGAAAGTGAAAGCAGAATGAACCTTGTGTCTTCAATCAGAAATTCATGAGGTGGCATGCAAATGCCTTTCCCTTAGCTTGATATGATGCCATTTTACTGTGTGTAGTTGTTTCAAAATAGTTATTTACTTTGCTACAGTTCTTGTATTTCCAGTTTAGAACTTCATGGCAATGTTTTAGGCCTTTTGGAATCGTAAAATAGTTTTTTTTTTCTTTGCTACCCATTTCTTTTTTTGATGACCTTGCATCTAAAACTTGAATTATTGCTTTTAATTGGAAACAGCATTTAGTCCTTTCAAATTTTGTTTCTTGATGCCTTTTGAACTTGGTGTAATTAATTTCATTTTCATGTTTGGTTCATGCTCAATTCATGCAATGCATAATGCAGGTTTTGGTTGTTGGTGGTGGTGATGGTGGTCTTCTTAGGGAAGTTTCTTGTCATAGTTCTGCAGAGCAGATACATTTATGTGAAATAGATCAGATGGTTATAGATGTAAGTGATGATTTGGTGAAACATGTCATGTATCACAAGCTACCATGCATCTTCATATAATGCCTTAAATTTACTGCAGGTGTCTAAGAAGTTTTTCCCACAATTGTCTGTTGGATTTGAGGATCCCCATGTCCGACTTCATGTTGGTGATGGTACGTTGAAGCAATTTTTTCGTGTTTCTTTTTCTACAATTTGTCCTAGTTACATAAAGACTTCATTATTTGTGCATGAATTTTCCTTGGGTTAATTGAAGCGAATTGAACTTATATTCTTAACTGATCTCACTTCTGAAATCTCTACAGCTGTAGAATTTCTCCATTCAACTCCTGAAGGGAAGTATGATGCTATTATTGTTGATTCATCAGACCCTGTAGGTATGTTCTAGAATACAAACAGTGTTTTTTTTCTTTAGTTTTTATCTCCCTATCCCCATGTGCACATGTCTGTCTTATTTATAACGTCAACACCATAAGGGAAATCAGGATATGTGGCCAGTAACTGATTGATGCAGAATCATGTTTTGGAACTACGGAACTGTGTAAATGCAAGAACTTTGTCTAACTTTTGGTTTCTGGTTATGTATATTTGGAGGATATTCTCAACTTATGTGCTGGTTCAATTTGCTTGAAACTATCCTTTGGATTTTGATATAATTTTTGGTTCTTGATTTCCCTACTTTGTTTTTAAAGATGAGAACTGAAGGATTTGAAAACTTGTTCTCTGTGATCTTCATAGAAACTTCTGTAGTTTTAAGGCTACATGCATTTAGGAATTTCGCTCATGGGATTCCTCTTACTGATTAAGGTCCTGCACAAGAGCTTGTTGAGAGGCCTTTTTTCGAGACAATAGCTAGAGCGTTAAGGCCTGGCGGTGTCCTCTGTAACATGGCAGAAAGTATGTGGCTTCATACACATCTTATTCAGGATATGATCTCTATTTGCCATGAAACATTCAAGGGTTCTGTTCTTCGACTTATAAAATTGTCAAAAATGGATGAAAACCCAAGTGATTTTTTGAGTCAACTTAAAGACAAAAAACGAGCCTTCGTCTGAAATGAAGTTGCCCAGTGGATTCAAAATTTGAGCTTTGAGCCCAAGTAGAAGTTTCCCAAACTCTAATGGGCTCAACCCCACTAATAATACAATTTTCTTTCCATTTATGTTCTAAAGAACTAAACAATAATTCTTATTAATCAACCTTTGGAGAAACTCTTCTTATCTTGTTTAGATTTTAAAACAGCAATAAAGAGTAATAGTTCCACAAGACAATTAGAACATCCTATTTGTAAGATATAAAAACAAAATAAGGTTGATAACCAAGAGTTATAGATGAAGCAGTAAGAAAATGTTTTTGACTCATTAGATTAGGAGTTAGATTTTTATTCTTGAATATATATATATATATATATGTGTGTGTGTGTGTGTGTGCGCGCGTGCTACTAGATATGTCTTGTTAGTAGATTTAAAGAATCTAATATTTAGAATCGATTTAAAATTAGATGTGATCTTATATTAATACATTGACTTAATATAGAAAGTGAGAACTTAGTATCGATTGATATAAAAAATGATCCGATAATACTCCATTTTTATTCTTGAATAATTCTTCTCACTATTTTTTTTTTTTGTGGCACTAGACATGGGTTGCTGATAGATTTAAAGAATTTTGTTTTTAAAATCAACCTAAAATTAGGTGTGATCCCACATTGACATATTAACTTATCGTAAGAAGTGAAGAGTTAATCTTAATGTATGAGAATTGATGAGAATGATTTAAAAGGATATGTGTATCTATAGACTCTTGTGCAGGTTGTGTTACTTTTGGGACTCTCTAATTATGGACAAAATGTTGTCAAAATTTTGGTAAGCAATAGAGAAGAATAAAGCTTAAGTAGTCTGTGGTGAACCATCCTACCTAAGGTTACGTGTCAATCGTAGCTCGTGACAATAGTAAGGTTATTTTCTTTAAAGAAATTGAAGAGGAGTTGGGCATCTATCAATTCATGAAGACTTATTAGAGAAATGAAGTTTATAAAGAAAAGAAGTAGGTGGTAACGTATCTATGCTTCCATGAGTTATTTGGCTTCAAATCTGAGATCCGGTGACACTTGGTTTGCTTTCAGTTGCTTTCAGTTGTTTCAGGTGGAACTTGTGCAATAAATGGATGATGTGCACAAGGTATTGAATTCATTGATTATATATATATATATATATATATATATATATATATATCAACTCAAAATCAAAACCCAATTTTAAAATAAATTACGCAAACTAACCCCACTCCATAATCAAATCAGATTATAATAAGAATCACTAAAACTTTTTGATTAATTACAGCCATGCATACCTGCCAATCATTAGACACCAACCAAACTCTCTCCTCATAATTCCACCAAGCTCTCCTCGTAATTCCACCAAGCATAGACATAGACATCTTTCTCCCAGACTTTGGAAAGTCCTGTTTCTCCGTAGATGCCTAACCAGACCAGCTTTTTGCCATCTTCATTACTTAGTTTAACTACGACTTCTCTATCTCTCCATAAACAAATTGGCATTAAGCTTCCAGACACCAAGGCAGTGACTGTGAACAGTTTTGACCAAGCTCTTTCCTTATCACTACCATTCAGCACCCATTTGTCGAAGCGCTGATCCTTAATCCTGAAATTAGGCAAGTTTGCTACAGCAGCAACTGATTCTTTCCATGCACAAGAAGTTTCTAGACGATAATGGCTGTTATATCCAGTCATAGAATATTTATTTAGAGGAGGCGGAAAGGGTATCCATTGGAAGGTGTCGTCAAGCAAACTGAAGGAAAGTAATATTTTGCCATCAATATTCCAATATAATGCTCCTTGTACAGCTGCACTAGCAGTCTTAGGAATTCGCCATAGTCCTCCAGGGGAAGGGACATGATCAGGTTTGTCATGTTTGATCCTTCTCCAAACACCCTTATTCCTTTCAATTACTTCACACAGAATCGAAGCTCGAGGATATCGGCCAAAGACTGAGGCTCTTACATACTTATAGTCGTTTCCTTTGGGATCAAACCCCAATCCTTTAGCCAGTTGATTAAACCTTTCTTCTGGATCGTGCTTGGGTAGACGCTTGAATTTTCTGGATGCAGGATTCCACAAGACAGTAACTGACTCGAAATCATCGGTTGCGTCGTCTAAATATTGGCAACAGAATAAGCCATGGCAAGAACCTATAACGTTAATGTAGCGGTAGTGAAGGTTAAGGGTGTGAAGCTATAATTGGTTATTGTTTCATGGCTGTGGAAGGATGATCTTGGACTTAATTCGAAATTGTTGTGACCCAAGAATACAAGGAGAGAAGGATTCTTGATGGAGTGGCTTAGGTGGGAGGAGATGAAAGTAGGGCTTTCAATAAGACGCGCAATAGTTCTTAGATAAGCACTTAAGTCGGAGTAGGGTTTTAACAGGAAGTTTTGTGAGTATGTCTTGGACGATATCTTGGGGTATAAACAATGGCGTAGCCATTGATATTCTTTGATCTGATCGCGTTTGTTTTGAGTATATATAACCTGTTCTTCCTTCCTTTTATACATAAAGAAGTTGATGAGGAGCAGGACTAACCACATGAAATCCTTTACCGTTAAGGACCAATATCTTTTCGTGTATGGACTCTATTTGGTTTAATTATTATCAACAAAGGTTATAAATCCTATTATTAATAAAATAAATAATTTAATTATCTAGCCATTCTGATCCAAACTGAAGAAAATTATATGCAATTGATATGCCATTTAAATTATCTACCGTAAATCATGTTAATGGCAAACGCCTATCGCCTGTTGCATTCTTACAATGAATTTAAAAAATAGAAGCAGTAGATAAAAAAATATTTAATAAATACTTTTTTAAATAGTTATTTGCTAGACTTAGTTTAACAAATTTAATTTTATTAACTATTAACTTAAGACCAAGGGCGGATTTATTCATAACAAAATGGGGTCCATAGACCTCACTTTGTCTATGAAAAATAAAAAATACCATTTAGTATTCAAATAAAAAAAAAACTACCGATTAATTCATTTACTACTTAGTTCCTTATCCAAAAACAATACACATTAGCTTATTATCAAATAATAATAATAATAATAATAAATAAATAGATAAACCCATTGTTTAGCCTAAGCCCATTATCCATAAAAATACTCATTGTTTAGCTCATTAATTAAATCATTACAGCACTTATTTTCTATTCCCTCTTGCTCTCAAAAATTTTTAACAGTACTATGTGGACTTCTCTTTTCTGAATCCGTCACTGATTAAGACTACTAAATTTATGAGTCAAATGAATAAAAGTGTAGAGCCGAAATAACTTATTCAAAACGTTCTTTAAAATATTATATGGTATAATTGGATCGAAATGAATCCAAAAAATAATGAGAAGATCAGATTTTTTTAAATAAAATAATATTAAATTAAGCATAATAAATTTAATTAAAAGATTAAATAATTATTTTTTAAATTAAAGAAATTATTTAATTTATTTTATAAAATTAGAAGGACTAATTTATAATTTACACGTGATTTCTTTTTTTCTTCCTCCCTAAACATAGCGATCATAAATTTTAACCAATAAATTAAAAAAAAAATCGAAATTTCATAGCCAACTAAAAAGAAGGTGGGGCCTAGTGAATCCCCATTTGGATTCTGCCACGTAAGTAGTTGGACTGAATCTAGCACACGCCAACCACACTCCTCTCCTACACCTGTTTTATCTCCCACATTCTGGAGAAAATTCAGACCTGTCTAGCAAACCAAACAAAAAGAAGTGCTTCTTCTCTTATGTTCTCTAGCGATCTTCACCAATCAGTGAAAAAGAAAGGTACCCATTTCTATAAAGCTTCTACTTTTTCCAAAAGTTGATTTCATTTCCAAGATTTTTCATTTTTATCAGTTTATAAAAACTGCTTCTTTTATTTTATTTTGCAGCTGATTGATATTGGAAAAAGGCATAGATAAGATGTCAGTTGTCACTTCACTTTCAATTCATGTAGTTACAAATCCAATTCCAAAACTTCCTCACCATGTATGTAAATCTTTTTGTTTCCTTTTGTTCTTTTCGGTGAAATTCATATTGTAATCGATTGTGCAATCTTGACTATGTGAGACGCACAGTCAAGATTGCAATTTTTTTTTATGTTCTATTATGGAACTTTTGAATGAATGGATTCTTTGATTTGTTTTTTCCAGGCCATTCAATCTACTGATTTTTTGGGATTTGTCCCGAAGGGGAAGCTTATAAATGCGACTTTGGCTTGTAGGTTTCCTGTAAGAGTACAAGTTGGTGTAGTTCAGTTGTTTGGTTTACATAGGAGGAAGTTGAAACTGAAAAGTTTAGCCTTTTCTGTTCCTAATGAGAATGATCAAGCTGAATTATGCGATTCGCGGACTTGTACTGGCGATGAAATATTTGTTCCTTTTGAAAATGATGAGAGTTTGAAGGACCCAGATGGAGAAATTGTTTCTTCCGTTTTGTGTTCAGAAGCAGACTTATCGCGGACTGTAGAGCATCTTGGTAATGAAGGGAGTGTTGTTGAAAAGTTAAAGGCTGTTTACTTGCATGTTCTGGCATCTGAACAATGGAATGCTTCTCGACTCAAATTGTGTCACAGGTATTTTCTTTATGTACAAAATGGGTTATGTGTATATTTGAGGTCAAGTTTATAGAAGATAGTGGAATTAGCTTATGCTGTGTTTTACAATTTTCGACAATCAAATAGCATTGTAGATGAGAGTCTTGTAGTAGACATATTTATACATGTTTGTGTAGATGCTTATTGACCAGAGAAAGATGGTGTCATCCCTTTTGTTCGCATCCTTGCTCAAAGCTGAATTATATATATATATATTCACTAGTTGAGATTTTTGGCTCTGTCCAGTTTCATTTGTGGTGCACAACTTTTATTTCTATTTCATTACGATTAACTGGTATGTGCTGATTAAATATGTTTGTCGATGGTAAAAAAGGTAAAAATATACTGGAATAATCTGAAAATTTTCTCTGTTTCATTTAGAGTTTTACTTTCTATGCATCCCTCAATTTTCTTACCTTGTGAGGGACTTCTAATGCTTGGCTTTGTGTCCTTTCAGAAGTTACTTGGTTAGCGCGACAAACTTAATACATTATCTGGCATTGAGGTGCCTTGACATTTGGCAACTGAAAGAAGATCTCACTTTGGTCGGTCTCATGAATTTGGAGAACATCAATTCGCATGTTCTTCCAAGTCTTAATGCTAGTATTCGACTTTTGGAGAACTTGAAATCAAACTCTTTGAACCCCAAAGATTGTAGTAGTGCAGGAATTTTCACTCAGAAAAGATTAGACCAACAGAAGGATGGAAAATTTGCAATACAAACAATGAGGAAGAAGGCGTCCTCCAACAGTGAGTTCTTATTGGGCTGTCTACGAGATGACAGAACTACTCACATCATGGTAACGGTTGGTCAAGAAGCTACTGTGAATGAAACATTTATTGCTGATCTTATCAAGGCTGGGACCTCCATTATTCGTATCAATTGTGCACGTGGAAATCCTAGCATCTGGAGTGAGATCATCAAAAGAGTGAAAGAAAGTTCCCAGATGCTGGAAAAACCCTGTCGAATTCTCATGGATTTAGCAGGACCAAAGCTTCGAACCGGAAAGCTGAAGCCTGGTCCATCTGTAATCAAAATATCTCCCAAGAAAAGTGCTTCTGGAAATGTGGTATTCCCTGCTCAAGTTTGGTTGTCTCACAAAGAAGCTGGTCCTCCTACTCATTTGTCTCCTGATGTAGCCCTGTTCATTGATGACCAACAATTTCTCAGTGAGCTTGAGATAGGTGACACTTTGCGATTCAGTGATGCTAGAGGGAAGAAACGGGTGCTTAGAATTTCTAGAAAACTTCATGTTTTCTCTGGTACTGGATGTGTGGCTGAGTGTACTAGGACTGCTTATGTACAGTCAGGAACAAAACTTCAGCTGAAGGAAAAGAAACGGAGGTCACCACTTGGCCAAGTAGTGGATGTCCCTGCTACAGAGCCATTTATCAGATTGACAGTTGGAGACTTGCTAGTAATTTCACGAGGTAGCTCTTCTGAACCTCATGGATTGCCTATGTCTATGAGTGGCACTCATAAGATCACTTGCTCTTCTGGCTATTTGTTTGATTCAGTCAAACCTGGTGAACCAATTGCTTTTGATGATGGAAAGATTTGGGGAGTTATACAAGGAACGAGTATATATGAAATCGTTGTCTCTATCACCCATGCTAGTCCAAAAGGCAGTAAACTTGGATCAGACAAATCCATTAACATCCCAGAGAGCAATATTCGGTTTGAAGGCCTAACTTCAAAGGATCTTATGGATCTTGAATTTGTTGCTGCCCATGCTGATATGGTTGGTGTTTCTTTTGTTCGAGATATTCGTGACATTGTTCTGCTGCGTCGAGAACTAGAGAAGCGCAAACTTCAAAACCTTGGGATTATTTTAAAAATTGAGACAAAGAGTGGGTTTGAGAATTTGCCTCTTATGTTGTTGGAGGCAATGAAGTCCTCAAATCCTTTAGGGGTCATGATTGCTAGAGGAGATCTTGCAGTGGAGTGTGGGTGGGAAAGGTTGGCTGATATGCAGGAAGAAATTCTCTCTCTTTGTGGTGCCGCCCATATACCAGTCATTTGGGCAACTCAGGTCTTGGAGTCGCTTGTAAAGTCTGGGATGCCCACCAGAGCTGAGATCACTGATGCAGCCCATGGAAGGAGGTAACTGCCGATGCTACATACCCTGTATATCTCGTATATTCACATGTATGTGCTTATATAAGCATGTTGAAGTTTTCGTAACTTTTAGAAACTCATCCTTTGCCTTAGAGCACTTCAGTCGATATCAACATTTGGTTTCTTACAAGGCCATCCCGTCCCAAAGCCGCCTTAAAACCCATTTAACCACATGAAGATTAAAGCCAGTAGTGATTGGATCACCTGTTCATGTTTTAGGATTCTCTCTGACAATCTTTTAGATTTATTTACAGTTTTCATAGAAGATTTTCTTATTCAAATTTATCTCATCTCTTTGGCAGCGTAAGTTGTGTCATGTTAAACAAAGGGAAACACATTGTGAAGGCAGTTTCAACTTTGGACAGCATCCTCCATTCGAAATCAGCTGAAAGGAAAGTAGAGGTAAAGCCCATTTTACTCTCTAGTCTCTAGTTTTGATAAAACGTTGTTCCTTTCTAGTGGATAACCGTCTCTTTAAAAAGTGCAGCACTAGGTTTCTCTTTGAATTTGGAATGCAGAAAAGGGTTGGTATCTCTAACCCTAACCATGTCAATATCCTTAGTTAAATGGAAACTTAGGATGTAAATTGTTGTTTTTAATTTTGTTCATTTATTTTAGACAATGGGGGTGTTTTTTCGTTTCCTCCCTTATCTGTTTGTGAAACAATGAGATCTCTTAATGGAAAATTGATTAGTTCCATTGTTATAGTGGCCTAGAAAATTTTGACAACTTGTACGAGTTTGATGGCCCATCTTTTGTCATCAAGGTAACCTCAAAGAAAGTTCCATAGAGGCTGATGCAGGGCATAGATTGAAAATGAATCCTTCTCAACTGCATTTTGACCTGAATTTCGATAGTAATAACATCCCAAAAAGATGAATTGCAGCCGTATTGGCCATTAGGAAGTCCACTAATGTTGGATTCCATAGTAATCCTTTCTACAAGATCTACACGATGCAGGTCTTCCTTCCCCTTTTTGTGGAACCTAAAACTAAAAAATAAAAAATAAAAAAATAAATAAGAGAGAGAAACAATTTTTTTTTTTTTTTTTGGCAGGATGATGGCTCCAATTCTTGTCAACCTGCCTGTTACGTTTTTTTTTCTCTTTTTTAATTTATTTTTAAGGAACACAAAATGAAAAATATCAATTTAATACTTGAATTTCATGAGGTTTCACAGAGCTTTTATGATAAAGATATGATGGCTGTGGGAGATGAAAATATACCTAGTAATAAATGGGTTGAATTCGTAATGGCAACTGGCCGGTGGGTATGGGTTGGGTCAAAATGAGTTATTGATGACCCATTTATTTTTTAAATAGATTTTCATTCCCACTAAAACAAAATAAATATGCACCAATAAGAATTTCATAATTAAAAAAACTTATTACAAGGTTATTTTCGTTTTTTCAAAAACAAAATGCCCTCTATATCAAATAATAATAAATAAATAAATAAAACATTTCCCCGTGAGTGGAACCTTATGTGCCAAAGCCGTCTTAAAATCCGTGTAGCAGTGTCGAATTTTTCTTACCGAATCTAGCATTGACCCCTGAAATGCCATAACTATAGATGAAGTATATGTTAATGATCTCTCTCTCTCCTGTAAAAACATTGTCTACTTTAAAACAAAAATATATAAATAAAAAATTCTGATATAATATAATAATCAATAATTTTTTAATCTATATAAAAAATTAAAAAAAAAACAATATCTATGATTTTTTTTTTTTTAATTCCATGAAGGTTCAAGAAGGAGCATTGATAAAAATATTAATAATATGTTTTTTTTTATATAATCTATAAAATGTTTATACAATTTTATAATAAATTTTTTTAAAATTTCTTTTCAAAATTAGGAAAGTTAAAAATATTTTTAAAAAGTTTTTTCTTAAAAAATAATTAATAACGAAATGCTAAAATGACGTCGTTTTAGCATTCCAAGTAACAATCAACCCGATTGATCATTACATATAACGAAAATTGTACAATTTAAGATTTAAATTACATAATTTGATACAATGAGTTTAAAATTACCTGATTGTAGTAAAATGGAAGCAAAATTTGCCATTAAACCTATAATTGGATCCATAAACTGGTATGATGAATAAGAACAACTGTTTGCCAATGTATTTCTAGTGCTTTTCCAAGCACTAGCTGTTTGTCCGAAAGAAATATCAAGTTGCAGAAGCAAGAATGTTGTGCTTTGCCTTGTTCTGGGTATTCGATTAACTAGTTTTGTGCGTTATTAATTATATTCTAAGACCCCAAGTCTGAATGAGGGTCTGGGGTGCCCCTAAACTGCACGTTAATGTTTATGAAATGAGTACATTTTGTTGTGTTTGGAGTGAGTGCTTGAAAGTGCTAGGAGCATGGGGATGGAGAACTAATTGAAATTCAGTAGTAAAATCAATTAGACTTCTACTGTCTAACAAACCAAACCATAAGAACTTATTCGTCCAAATTGAAATTTCAAGTTTTTTTTTTTTTTTTTTTTTTTTTTTTTTTTTTTTAAATCAATACTTTTGGACCCTCTAGCGTGATTATAATCCAACACTATTGGATTGTAAACTCATATTTTTAAGAAAAGGAGAAAATAATAAACAAATTACGAAGGTTCAAGAAGGAGCATTGATTGTTAGCAAAGACATGCATGCATGGGCCTCCTGAGTTGTACGGTGCCAAACGCAACTGCAAAAATAAGGATAAAAAGAAAGATTCATGAAGGAGAATGATTGCCTGAAACCAACATGATTGTGTCTGTACTTACGAGTCAAATTCATGGAACATATTTTTTTTCATAAAACATGAAATGGTTCTTAAATGGAAAAAAAAAAAAAAAAAAACGAAAAAAATCAATATCCAATGAGATCTCTTAATTAATGGAACATTGATTAGTTCCATTGTTATAGTGGCCTAGAAAATTTTGACAACTTGCACGAGTTTGATGGCCTATCTTTTGTCATCCCCCCCATACTTGGTACAATATTGCAGCCGTATTGGCCACTAGGAAAGCGAATCTTTCTCAACTGCATTTTGACCTGAACTTCGATACTTGGTTTAGCAGCTAAGAAAATGGTAAGAACATCCCAAAAAGATTAATTGCAGCCGTATTGGCCATTAGGAAGTCCAGTAATGTTGGATTCCATAGTCATCCTTTCAGCGAGAGCTACATGATGCAGGCCTTCCTCCCCAATCTTGTAGAAGAAAATGATTCAAGGACCTTCGAATTAATACCAAATCCAAATCACAAGTCTTTCAAGAATTAATTAAAGACCGATCAAAAATATTAACAGCTTGTCTGATAATCATGCAGCAGATTTTATCTTTGAAGTGCAGCAAAGCTTGTTATGGCTGGCTCTTGTCTCAATACTCGTCAGTGCATCATAATGTTGATAGCCTGTCTAAGATTCCAATATAAATAATAATAATAATAATAACTTAGATATAGAAAAAATCACATCAAAGCACCTAAAACACACACACACACAAAAAAAAAAAAAAAAAAAAAAAAAGTGAAGAGCAATTAGTGTTTGATGAATAAGAGAGAGAAACAATTTTTTTTTTTTTTTTTGATGGCTCCAATTCTTGTCAACCTGCCTGTGAGGTTGTTTTTTTTTTTTTTTAATTTATTTTTTAAGGAATACAAAATGAAAAATATCAATTTAACACTAGGTATTTCATGAGGTTTCACAGAGCTTTTATGATAAAGATATGATGGCTGTGGGAGATGAAAATATACCTGAATTCGTAATGGCAACTGGCCGGTGGGTATGGGTTGGGTCAAAATGAGTTATTGATGACCCATTTATTTTTTAAATAGATTTTCATTCCCACTAAAACAAAATAAATATGCACCATTAACAATTTCATAAGTAAAAAAATAATTACAAGGTTATTTTCGTTTTTTCAAAAACAAAATGCCCTCTATATCAAATAATAATAATAATAAATAAATAAAACATGTCCCCGTGAGTGGAATCTTATGTGCAAAAGCCTTCTTAAAATCCATGTAGCAGTGTAGAATTTTTTTTACCTTATCTAGCATTGACCCCTGAAATGCCATTACTATAGATGAAGTATATGTTAATGATTTGTGTTCTTATTAAATAATTAAGCTCTCTCGCTCTCTACTGTAAAACATTGTCTACTTTAATATATATATATATATAATTCTGATATAATATAATAATTAATAATTAATAATTTTTTTAATCGATATAAAAAATTAAAAAAACAATTTATATGATTTTTTTAATTCCATGAAGTTTCAAGAAGGAGCGTTGATAAAAATATTTATAAAATATTTATACTATTTTATAAGAAAAAAGTTTTAAAATTTTTTCAAGATTAAAAAGGTTAAAAATAATTAATGTCAAAACGATATTGTTTTAGCATTCTAAGTAGTAGTTACCTAGTTGACCGTTACACATAATAGCGATTGAACAATTTGAATCACGTCTATTCGATATTTAATATTTTAAAATTTAAATTGCATAATTTAATACTATGAGTTCGAAATTATAAAATTATAATAAAATAAGAGCAAAATTTACCATTAACCTATAATTGGATACATAAACTGGCATGATGAATAAGAACAACTGTTTGTCAATGTATTTTCCAAGCGCTAACTGTTTGTCCGAAACGAAAGATCAAATTGCAGAATATTGAAATTCACTAGTAAAAAAATCAATTAGACTTCTGCTGTCTGACAAACCAAACCATAACAACTTATTCGTCCAAATTGAAATTTCAAGATTGTTTGTTTTTTTTTTTTTTATTTAAAAAACCAATACTTTTGGACCCTCTAGCGTGATTAAAATCCAACACTATTGCATTGTAAACTCATATTTTTAAGAAAAGGAGAAAATGGATTCGTTCAAAAATAATAGATAAATTACGAAGGTTCGAGAAGGAGCATTGATTGTTAGCAAAGATATGCATGCATGGGCATCCTGAGTTGTACGGTGCCGCACGCAACTGCAAAAATAAAGACAAAAAGAAAGATTCATAAAGGAGAATAATTGCCTGAAACCACATGATTTTGTCTGTACTTACGAGTCAAATTCATGAAACATATATAACCAACATGATTGTGTCTGTACTTACGAGTCAAATTCATGGAACATATATATATATATATAATGAAATGGTTCTTAAATGAAAAAAAAAAAAAAATTAATATCCAATGAGATCTCTTAATGGAAAATTGATTAGTTCCATTGTTATGGCGGCCTAGAAAATTTTGACAACTTGCACGAGTTTGATGGCCCATCTTTCGTCATCCCCCATACTTGGTATTTAATTGGTTTAGCAGGTAAGAAAATGGTAAGAACACCCCAAAAAGATTAATTGCAGGTCTACATGATGCAGGTCTTCCTCCTCCATTTTGTAGAAGAAAATGATTTAAGGACCTTTGAATTAACACCAAATCCAAATCACAAGTCTTTCAAGAATTAAAGACTGATCAAAATTATTAACAGCTTGTCTGATAATTGTTCTTTGTTTTTTTGGTACATGACCAACGATTTAATTTTAAGGATGTGAAATCTACAGACAAACCTATGATGTTCTTGAATATGAAAGGATAGAAATAAAAAGAAAATTAAATAAGACATTACTTTGGTAATACATTCATAACTATGATCTCACACTAATATAATTAACTAATTTGTATATAAAAGTAATGTTGTCTAGTCAATAGATTATACTCAATTAATATTAGTGTTCCCGACCTCTCCTCCAAAAGTTTTGTGGTTAGAATTTCTTTTTTGTCAAAAAAACTCAAAAAATAAATAATATCGTTTATTATCAATTTGAAAGAAATGACATTCTAACGATACAACAATACATACATACAGCAAACCAATCCACACTGTTAAAACCAAAAAGAGAAAAAAAAAGGAAAAAAAAGCACGCACACATACACAGTGTCAATGGCGTATTTGGGTGGCATTTGGGCAGCTGCAGTTGCCAAAACCTGGTTTCTTATGAACTTCTGCTAGGTAGGCCTGTATGGCACTTACTACAAAGCCATAAATAAAAGAGTACTTGACCACTGTGGTAGAAATAGGAGCCTTATAATGAGCGATCCATCGCTTGAAAGTGTTTCTATAATGCGATTCAATGGCCTTTTTAAGCTCGATAAAAACAGAGGGGTTGGGCACCAGATTGGTCGTCATGTCTTTGAAGAGTTGTGCTATCTCATCGTCACTTCCAATAGTGGTGCAGAGTATCCCCTTCGATCGCAGCACGTTCACGTCTTGAGGTTTCTCAATCAGTGAACGCATAAAGCATACGTAAGAAGTGAGCAGACCAGAATACCCACCACCGCATGCTTCAAAGGCTGCCAAGTTCAAAAGCAAGGGCTTGGTTGTGTCATCTATGCTTAGTGGAGGAATGTGGAGTTCTCCCCTATCAAAGTTGATTTGAACTTGACATCCGTGAAAACCATGGTGTAGCTTGGTTTAAAATGGATTCCGACGTTCTTAAGCTCGTTGACGGAATGATATCGGTTCCAGCTTGTCTCCCGGTACCATCTTTTCCCTCCGCTATGGTGTCTTTCTCCGTAAATGAACTTGATATAAAAAAGTTCGAGAAGATGATCAACAATATCGTAGGGAATATCCTCGGGGCTTGATTTAAATGCTCTTCTCAAATTGGAAAAAAAATTGGATATCTTTTTCCTACATGGCTCTCTTGGAAGGGTTATTGCATGAAATTGTTTGAATAGATCTTCAAACATAACCATCAAATGTTGATCTTCTTTTCTAAACCACAACCTCATCAGTGGGAGGAGAACTTGAAAAGGAAGTTGGTTCTCTAGTAAGAACAAGTCCCTTTTTACCAATGCCACTTCTTCTTCATTCCTGATCTTCTTTTTCTCAAGCTCGTTGTCGAAAAAATCAAGAATGAAGCAGCCATCGAGAAACATCATCTGGGCGAATTTCTCATCGTTGAACTGATGTGTTAACTCCTCTGCATAGCATTCCCTTGCATAGCCAACCAATTCTTTGACCTTGCGGTACATTTCTTCAGCAATCACTCTTTCATCTTCGACAAACTGGCCGGCTATTTGTATCTTGAGCTTCTCCATTTTCTCGAGTTCTTCCTTCCCATGGTGACAGGGACCGATGGAGACCACCCGCGGCATGTAGCAATCTTTGTTCTTTTCCACTTCACGTAACTCTGATGGAACTCCTGGAATTATTGGCTCCTCCATTTGGTGTGAAATTTTGTGGAGTTCTCTACTTTCTTTCAAGGAGTCCAGCCACCGATCAACAGTACTGCCGCTTGGACTACGTGAAGGACTCCGTGAAGGGCCCTGATGAATATTTAGTGTTACAGACATTGTTAGCACACACAAAAATGATAATTAAACAAGGACCTTAAGAGAAGGATATCGATCTATTGTATAGAAATAACTAATTAAAATTTATACCTAGTGATCTATCCATCTAGCTTGAAATTGAAGTGGCTTATAGTTTGGAACAAGTATTTTAGCTTACTTGGAGATGGAGTTTAATTACTTTGAGCATGTTTAGCCTCCTATTTTGCTTAATTAATTAAAATAGAAAATGAGAGTTGTAGGATTCAAACCCACAATCGTTTGATCTTTAAGACTCGATAACCACGTAAAGAGATCATCTCACCTAAAAGTTTAAGTTATTGGATGAGATAATCCTTCGACACTATTATGCTTGTGTTGTAGTAGGATGTTGTGTTATATTGTTAAGTAAATCAATTAAGTTATTTGGCATCAAAGTCTAAATTTTTTGGTTATCATGGTCTTTGATATAATATTTTTAATCCATCAAATTATCACAAATTCAAATCTTACTATTTTTATTTTTCTAATTAAAATTAAATGATCAAATGCAAGGTAATAGTGAGTTTGTGCGTTTCAAGCTCAATCTTAAGGAGACAAGGAAGTCGTAAGCTTTTGCATTTGATCGAAACCAAAAAGCTTTTAATTGAGAAAATATGTTATAATAATATAAAATTATTTTTAAAATCTCATTTAATAATTTAATTTTTTGAATTAAAATAGTTCTTGATAGTTGTGAATAAATTTATTATTTTGCTATTAGTATTAAAATAAGTATAAATTAAGCGATTAAACTTATTAATTATAAGATTTTTACTAGTTAAAGTATTCTTTTAAATTGAATTTATTATTTTGAATTTGAAATTTTCAAATGCTGTAGTATTTTATATAATATTTCTACTAATTTAATCCAAATCCAAAATCCTATAAAAATTAACTTACTTATATAGTTCATATATATCATCAATAATATATAACAAGATAAAATATTCATTATTCTTCATAAAAATTGTTAATAATTATATACATATCTACGATAAAAAAAATGCAGATTTATTTTAAATAAATATTATTATACTTATATTTATGAATATATGGTAAAGACGTAAAGTAATAGTGTTTGGAATATTATACTAGATATCAAAATAAATATGCATTTTTAATAATTTCATAACTTAAAAAAATTACAAGGCTATTTTTGTTTCTTCAAAAAATAAAATGCCCTCTATCTCAAAATAATAATAGTAATAATAATAAATAAAATCATCTCCCAAATTATTTTTCTTACCGAATCTAGCATTAACCCTGGTAATGCCATAACTATAGATGGAGTGCATGTCAATTATTTATGTAAGTCTACTATCCAAGTTAATGATTTATGTTCTTATTAAATAAGAATTCTCTCTACCTGAAAAAAATTGTTTTTCTTTTTATTTATATCTTTTCTAAAATATTTATCTGATCAAAATTTTAAATAATGCATTTTCTTAAAATATCACTAACTAAAGTTTATTTTGTAAAAAAATGGTTCAAATACCATTCAAAATAAACGTATTTTAAAAAAATATGACAAGAAATTCTGATATAATATAACAATCAATAATTTGCTTAATCTATGTAAAAAGTCAAATTTATTTATTTATTTATTGAACAGAAAGAGTATAATTAATAACTCATTCCCAATAACATTGATTGTTAGGAAAGATATGCTGTAACATATGAAATGCATGGAAAGGATAAAGATACGCATGCATGGGCCTTCTGAAACAACTTTAATTTGTACCCTTTAATCTTTAATTAGAATTTTTATAAAATAGAAGCTTACCCTGTCAGGAATCATGTGTTTTCAGACAGAATGGTTTTTCACTGTTTTAGAATCAACCGGTATCATACGCAACTGCATGAGTAAAGATAAAAAGAGAGATTCGTAAATGAGAATCATAACAGAAACTAAAATGATTGGGTCTGCGTACTCAATTTTGAGTCAAATTCACGAAACATCTTTTTTCCAACATAGCACATATAATACATCAATTTTTAATAGCTAAATGACTTTATAGAATTCTAACATTTATAATGTTTCCTTAATTAAAATTTTAGAATATTAAAAAATGAAAAGGTCCGTAAATAAATCAATATCAGTACCTATTTTATATTACTCAAGGATTAACTATCAATGATTTAAATGGACAACCATCCTTTGTCCAAAAAATATGAAATTTAATTAACACAAAGATAATTGACAAATAGATGATATTTATAAAAAGAAATCAAGAGATAAACACATGCAGAACTACCTTAAACATATAAAACATGATAAAAACTATTTCTAACCCGAGAAATGCTATAAAAAACAAAATGACTTAAAAGAATGGTCATTTTGTGTCATAAAAATTTGAAATTTCACAAAGGGATGAGAGGCATATAGATGGTGTTCATGTAAAAAAACAAAAAGTAAAAGTATCTAAAGATGTACGAAACACGTAACACACAAGAGTAACTAACTTGAAATTGAAAAATTAGTACTTCGAGTAGAAGAAAAAGTAATTTAAATGGACAACTATCTAATATCACAATGATATGAAATTTTACAAGTAGATAGGAAACCAATAGATGGTGGTATAATCAAAAAATAAGAAAAAAATATTTAATATTATATCAAACATGTAAAATATGAAAGTAGTTATTTTTTGCTTAAAAACTTAGTACTTGTAGTAGTTAACAAGATGACTTAAATGGACATTCACCTTACATCATAAAGATCTGAAATTTCACACATAAGTTGGAGACATATAAATGATGATCGTTAATCTTTTCTACTATGTAAAATCATTTTATTTGTGTTATGTTGGTTAGAAAACGAGTTTATTGTTGACTTCTCACCTATACGGACGAAGCCTTCGAGTGGTCTTAAAGCCATTTTTCTTACAAAACTAATAGTGGAATTGAAGTTATTGATAACTTTTTACTTATGTAACAAAGCTATCAATGATTTAAAATTTATTTTACATGTCATAACCAAAACATTTCTCATATTTTTTGTTATTTTATTTGTTCCTTACATTTTTATTTTATTTATGTCATTTTACTTCATTTTAGAATTTACTACAAAAACTAAAAAAATGAAAAAAATACAAAAATACAAAAATATATCCATAAATTCAAAATACAAAAAAGCAAAAAAGCAAAAAAAAAAAAAAAGAAAGAAAAAAAAATCTATAGGATGAAGATCTGATCCGATTCGTCTTCGACACAAACTCTATCATGATTTAAAGTCTACAATAGCAAAACAAAGTATCTAACCTAAGTCACATCATGCATATATATAATGTATATTTATTGTACATACATGTTTTGATTTTACAGGATTTAAAATATAGATTGTCCTATCAAAACTCAACTCCTCTTTCGAACACATTACACTTAACTCCGATGAGGCCAGATAAAAATTGAAGAGAGAGCACAATTGGGACATGCTCATTGATAAAAGAATTTGACCACATGAAGAGGAAAATTGCCCGCTCGTCCAAACTTCTTAAAAAGCTCTACTCACATTTCTAAGTGATGGGAGCACATCAAACCAAGGTCAAGCTCAGCATCATTCTCTATTAGGCCATTCTCACATGCAATCGGTCGACATGTTCTACCAATGCAAGGTACATCCGATGGATACATCATTGATGAAAAAAACATCCGCAAGACCAAGGCAGCAAAAAAGCCTAGTTCAAACAAGTTGTTTGCAATCAAAGCATGTCTCAAGGCTACAAAGACATCGATCTGTATATATATTTAATTAATGTACAGCTGTCATTAATGTTATTTGTGAGTTTATTGTATAGGATTATAGCTCACTTATTTGACTGATATAAAAGGCTTAGCTTGAAAGAGTTGTTTATCATCCAAAGATAATAATCCCGTTATTGAAGTATGGTATTTATATGTTACGGTAGATGCACTACACAAGGATCGTTACAGAGATAAGAATTATAGTCGTGTAAGGAGTAAAGATATACTTGCATAAAGGATATGCATGAGAAGTGAGAGCCATGCAGTGATACGTAAATAAGAAACGAGAGATGTATATGGACACGCAAGGCTTGAAGTATATCCTTATCATCCTCCCTCAAGTTGAGCGACGGAATGCGAGTCAACTTGTTCCGTAGTAAGAAAAATTATCGTTTGGATAACGGTTTTGTCAAAATATCCGCGATTTGGTCATTAGTGGAAATAAAGTACACCGTTAGCTCCTTCTTGTTTACCTTGTCTCCGACGAAGTGAAAGTCGATTTCCGTGTGTTTGGATCGTGCATGGAAGACAGGATTTGCAGCAAGATAGGTAGCCGAGATATTGTCACACCAAATGGTGGGTGTTACGAAATGGTTGATTTGTATTTTCGTTAAGAGAGACCGAATCCACGTGACCTCGGACGTCGTTGTAGCTAAGGCACGATACTCGCATCCGTGGAAGACCGGCTACTCGTCCTCTCGTTTCTTTAAGCACCAAGACACAAGATTTCCACCTAGGTAAATTGCATACCCAAGTGGTACTTTTTTTGTCATCTATATCTCCACCCCAATCCGCATCACTATAGGCATGGAGAGCCAATGTAGTTGCTGGTCGGAAGTGTAAGCCATGATCAACCTGTAGTGCCTAAATAGCGTAAGATCCTCTTAACGAGCAGACCAATGTTCATTTGTGGGAGCATGCATAGACCGGGCCACTTTGTTGACGAGCATAAGAGATGTCCGGACGTGTTAATGCAAGGTATTAGAGCCCCCCCACAACACTACGAAACAAAGTAGGTTCCGTATACATTGTCCCAGACCTTCTTCAATTTTGCGAGACACAAGCGGGGGTTGAGATGGAGCTTGCTTCATGCATGTTGGCCCCGCGAAGGATATCTTTAATATACTTGATCCGAGTTAAAATCAATCCTCCCTTACACCAATGAGCCTCAATGCCTAAGAAGTATGACAACTTGCCTAGGTCTTTAATTGCAAAGTCGTCGCTAAAGTTGGGTTTTA